TGTAACTCTTTACAGGAGTGGAAAACCTTGTTTTTCTGCAGAGGAGCAGCTGGTGATTTTGAATTCCTGGCCTTCCAGGTTCACAGCCCAATGCATAAGCCCTGACACTCCATAGGAGATAGAAAGTTAGCATTGGCAAAGACCACCACAAATTTTGCTGAGCTACATACAAATAAACTGTAGAACCATATAATCGTATGGGGGGTGGAGGGATGTTAATAACTTTATGCCGAGCAAGAGAAGGCAGATATAGAGCTCATGCTGTATGGTTTCTTCTGTAAGGAATTTAAAAGGAAGCAAAATTAATCTACAGGGACTGAGAAAATATCAGAGGGTATGCAGACTGAATGGTGAAAAGGAAATGACTGCGAAGATACAAAGAATGAATTAACATCGTATTTTCATCTTCTCTTTATTGTTACATATGTTTATGCAGTTGTCCATATGTCTTGTTTTAAATGATTGTATGTCATGGCCTATAATATAGACATTAATAACAAACATGATTAAATTTTACACATGCAGAATGTTTTGACTTTTTCCTTTTAAAATTATTTAAATCATTTGAAAGATTCCCAAATTAAAAAAAAGTGTACCGCAAATATAACACTATCATTTGCAGGTCTACGAGAGTTTACACAAATGTAAGCAATTAGAAACAAGACCTGGCGTTCAATTATTTGTACTCAGCACAATAACTGTTAATGGTTACAAATACCATATTATCAATTATTAAACTTTTCCACTTGAAATTTCTTCAATAGAATCTCCATTTCTTTGCAAGTATTACACTTTTGGAGATAACAAATGTAGATATCTTATTGCCTATTTGTCTTTCAAGATCAATATGTGATTGTTCATTCCAGAGGGTTATGCTATCTTTAAAATTAAACAGATTTTCTATCTCTTTCTTCTTATAACACTAATTATATTGTATAACATTTATCAGTTTCTGTGTTTTTCTCAAACTAAAATCTTAGCAATGAAAACTGCTTAAGAGCATATTTAATGCATATTTATCAAAGTCATAGGTATTGCTAGAGACATAAAATTTAACTTGATTAGCAAGATCTAGTTTTACTAAGCATTTAGTACATAAAATATCATTGATGATATTTTTCTAACCAAAGATGAAAT